AGCCAATCCCGTGTACCAAACGAGTCTAAGTTTAAGTTTTTTTTTTAACACTTCAATCGAAACGACGTCGTTTCATTACAATAAACCTAAAAAAAAATAACACGCGAGTCGTCTTCCTCGCAGAGCCGCAGCCAATTTGCAGAGTCTCAAGATCTGTCACGCCTTGGTCCGCCTCGCTCCGCCTTGCAACGCCTCCTTACGCCTTCCCAGCGCTAAACGTGCAACTCGCGAAATAGCCGACCGCCTCGGGCGATTTCCTGCCGCCTCGCTCCGACGCGCGCGAAGGCATGCCTTTGAAAACACTGATCTGAACCAGTATCAATTAATGGATGCCAGGAAAGCCCATAAAGCCTCCTCTTCATCCTCACCATCCTCCTCCTCATCAAAACGTTGGAAGTACCAAGTGTTCTTGAGCTTCAGAGGTGAAGACACACGCAAGGGCTTCACAGGCCACCTCCACGCCGCATTAGCTGATACCGGAATCAGTGTTTTTCTTGACGACAACCAGCTAGAAAAAGCGGAGTTTATAAAAACCCAACTGGAGCAGGCAATCGACGAGTCCATGATCTCCATAATTGTCTTCTCCAAGAGTTATGCCGATTCCAGTTGGTGTCTTGACGAGCTGGTGAAGATCATGGAGTGTAGAGAAAGATTGGGGCACCAGGTTATTCCATTGTTCTACAATGTTGATCCCTCAGATGTCCGGAAACAGACTGGTAGTTTTGCACAAGCATTTGAGAAACATGAAGCGGGCATCTGTGAAGGTAAACATGAGAAAGAAAAGGTACAGCGGTGGAGAAATGCTCTCACTCAAGCTGCAGATTTGTGTGGGGAAGATCTTAAAAATTTTGACAGTGGGTAATTACTAATTTCTTGTTCCTTGGATTATCATCTCCTTATAAAATGTTCTGTCCTTTTTGTTTTTGTTTTTGTTTTTCCAACTATGTTTTAACTATGCATTCTTTCTTTTTGACTTTGAACTTTGGTGTTTGTTTGTTTGGTTTGGTTTTAACTATGCATTCTTTCTTACTTGATAATGTAAGATCCATTTAACATTTGATGTTAAATCCCAATCTTAATTGTTAAGTTAGGGATTCAATTTAACCTTGTAGTTTGTTCCACATCGAATGATTCGTAGTTCTGCTTCTTTGTTTAATTGCCAGGCATGAAGCAAAGTTTATCAAGAAAATTCTTGGGGAGGTTAATAAGCAGTTGTACAGCAAATACCAATTAGACATCGAACACCTTGTTGGAATTACTTCTCGGGTGAACAATGTTGTTCGCATGATTGATATTGAAAATTCAGGTTCTAAGGATGTTGTTCGCATGATTGGTATTTGGGGGATGGGCGGCATTGGGAAAACAACGCTTGCCAAAGCCATTTATAACAAATTTGAAGGTAGCTTTGAAGGTAGGAGTTTCCTTGCAAATGTGAGGGAAGTAATTGCAAACCAACCCATTACTGGTGTGGTTGGTTTGCAAGAAAAACTTCTAAATGATATCTTGAAAAGCAAGGACCCCATAAAGGTTGATTCTGTTGATGTAGGGATCACTGTGATACAAGAAAGACTTCACTGTAAAAGAGCACTTGTCATAATTGACGATGTAGATGAAGTACAGAAGCTAAAAGCAATAGCTAGAAAACGTGATTGGTTTGGTCCTGGAAGTAGAATTATTATAACAACAAGAGATAAACATTTGCTAGAGCAAATTGGAGTGGATGGCACATATATGGCTGAAGAAATGGATGAAAAAGAAGCTCTAGAGCTCTTTAGTTGGCATGCCTTCGAAAGTGGTTATCCTAATCAAGAATATCTTGACCTCTCAAAACGTGTATTTCGTTACTGTCGAGGCTTGCCACTAGCACTTCGAGTTGTTGGGTCTTTTCTGATTAAAAGATCCATAGCGGAATGGGAAAGCCATTTGGAGAAATTGGAAAGAAGTCCTGATGGAGATATTCAAAAAATACTCAGAATAAGCTTTGACGGGCTACCTGATCATACAAAGAGAGAGATATTCCTTGATATATCTTGTTTCTTTATAGGAATGGACAAGGACTATGTAACACAAATATTAGACGGATGTGGCTTTTCTGCAACGATAGGAATCAGTGTCCTCATTGAACGGTGCCTTGTAACTGTTAGTGAGGGAAACGAGCTGATGATGCATGATTTGCTTCAAGACATGGGAAGAGAGATCATTCGTGAAAATGCCCGCGGTCACCCTGAAAAATTTAGTAGATTGTGGAAACGTGAAGACGTAACAAATGTATTGAGCGATGAATCTGTAAGTACTGTCCCAGTAAAATGCATCATGCAAGAGAAGCACATGTATCCTGTGTCTATAATAAATTAAAATGTCCTTGTCTATTTCTTTTTTGTTTTGTTTTGTTTAGTTCAAGCTATAGTCTAAACCAAAGTAAAAGAGGGGGTTCTCACACATCCACACTACCAAGGTGCCATATGAATTTGAACCTGAGACCTTAGTCTGCAAGTTTAGATCATTTTTCACTTCGCTAGACTCCGTTGCCATTTCTTATATTATATCCTTTAAGATCAAAGCTCAATTAGTCATAACCAACAAAAAATATGTGCTTTGATTGCAAAGACAAACTCTAGGGCATAACATGGTCCAATACTATTAATTATACCTTTTGGTTAATACATACACGGATTTTTCATGTTTGTAAATCATTTTTCTAACTTGGTATCTTTTCTTAACAGGGAACTGAAGAAATTGAAGGAGTTGCTCTAGATTTGGATCTAAATTTGGATCTAGATTTGACTAGATTCAGTGCACAAGCATTTACCAACATGAAAAAACTGAGGTTACTCGACCTCAGCAATGGAGAGCTCACTGGAGAGTTCAAAGATTTTCCCAAAAATTTAATGTGGTTGAGCTGGCATTATTTTCCTTTAGAGTCCATGCCAGATGACTTTCCTATGCAACCAAAACTAGTTGCTTTAGACCTGCAGTGGAGCAAACTCAAAATAGTTTGGAAGGATTGCAAGGTATAATAATCTCAACCTAGTTGTTGTTGGTTCTTTCCTTCTGGTTCTATACATATATTATACTTCACCTTCTCTTCATTTTGGTTTAATTTCTGTATCAGAGACCTTCCTTTTGGATTTTAATTTCCATTCTAATTTTGTTTTTGTGTAACAGTTGCATCAGAATTTGAAAATCCTTAATCTCAGTTATTCTTATGAGCTAACAAAATCACCAGACTTTTCAAAACTCCCAAATCTCGAGGAATTGATATTGGAAGACTGTGAGAGTTTGTCTGAGGTTCACTCATCCATTGGGGATCTTGGAAGACTTTCTTTGGTAAATCTTGAATACTGCAGAATGCTAAGGGATCTCCCGCTGAATTTCTATAAATCCAAGTCTATTGAAACTCTTCTGCTCAATGGTTGTACAAGTTTTGAAAAGTTGGCTGATGGCTTAGGGGACATGGTATCATTGACAACTCTGAAAGCGGATGAGACAGCCATAAGACAAATACCATCTTCCATAATAAAATTGAAGAAACTGAAAGTTGTATCTTTATGTTATGTGGAAGGGTCGCCATCAACAAATCTTTTGCCTCCTTCGTTGCAAAGTTTAAGCTCTTTAAGAGAATTAGCTCTTGCATGCTGGAGTTTAACTGATGATGCATTCCCCAAGGATCTCAGTAGCCTAATTTCCTTAGTACATTTATATCTTGACGGCAATGACTTTTGCAGCCTACCAAGCCTCAGTCGTCTTTCAAAGCTTCATGATTTGTCTTTAAATAAGTGCAAAAATCTTCGTGCAATCCCAGATTTACCAACAAATTTGGAAGTCTTACGAGCAGATGGCTGCATTGCATTGGAAAAAATGCCAGATTTTTCAGAAATGTCAAATATAAGAGAATTGTATCTAAGAGATTTGGGCAAAATCACTGAGATTCCAGGCCTGGATAAGTCGTTAAACTCCATGACAATGATTCATATGGGAAATTGCACTAATCTCACTGCCGATTTTAGGAAGAACATCCGACAGGTCAATCCTTCTCTCTCTCTCTCTCTCTCTCTCTCTCTCTCTCTCTCTCTCATACATCTTTCTCTTTCAATCACATACAACGCACATGTACACATGCATGCATAACAATGTATTCTTATAGAAATTTGGCTCTACATGGTATAGGGATGGACTTCTTGCGGATATGGTGGCATTTTTCTCAGTGGAAATGATATTCCTGATTGGTTCCATTATGTCCATGATGATGATATTGTGTATTTCGCGGTGCCTCAAAGTGTTGGTCGTAATTTGAAAGGGATAACTTTGTCCTTCGTTTTCTCTTCAGGCTTCAGCGGTTATCGTATTAGCATTAAAAACTTGACCGAGGGTACTGAGTTTGATGCCAGGATCATGCCCTACAATCTAAGTTATGGTAATGGTTATCTTTGGCAGGGACAGTTATCAAATGACGAGCTCAAATTGCAAGACGGTGATAAAGTCTTGATTGAAATAATAACCGAATATGATTTGAAGGAGGTGAAGGTGGAGGTGAAGAAAACAGGTGTTAGTTTGGTATGGGACAAATTTATGAACGAAAATATGATTGATTACCATCTTTGTGCGTATGAACGACGCCCATATCAGGTCAATGATGATGACATCATTCATGTTGAAGATGATCATGACATGACAAAATCACCAGACTTTTCAAAATTCCCAAATCTTGAAAAGTTGATATTGAAAGGTTGTAAGCGCTTGTATAAGGTTCACTTATCCATCGGGCATCTTGAAAGACTTTCTTTGGTAAATCTTGAAGGCTGCGAAATGCTAAGGGATCTCCCACTGAATTTCTATAAATCCAAGTCTATTGAAACTCTTATACTGAATGGTTGTTGGAGATTTCGAAACTTGGCTGATGGCTTAGGGGACATGGTATCATTGACAATATTGAAAGCAGATAACACAGCCATCAGAAAAATTCCAAGTCTCGCTGGTCTTTCAAAGCTCAAGGTCTTGTGTTTAAATGCATGCAGAAAACTTCTTGCAATCCCAGATTTACCAACCAATTTGTATGTTCTGAAAGCAAATGACTGCCCAAAATTGGAAACAATTCCAGATTTTTCAAAAATGTTGAACATGAGAGAATTGTATCTCAGTGATTCGTTCAAACTCACCGAGGTTCCAGGCTTGGATAAGTCATTAAACTCCATCACAAGGATTCATATGGAAGGCTGCACCAATCTGACTGCCGATTTTAGGAACAGCATCCTACAGGTCTCTGTCTCTCTGTCTCTCTGTCTCTCCCTCTGTCTCTCTCTCTCTCTCTCTCTCTCACACACACACACACACACACAAAATCTGACTGCCCATGTAATGATATATGCATGCATGTATAAGAATGTATTGCTTCTGGTTTACAGACATGTACACATGTATGCATAAGAATGTATTTCTTATAGAAATTTGGCTCTACATGGTGTAGGGATGGACTTCTTGCGGATATGGTGGCATTTTTCTCAGTGGAAATGATATTCCTGATTGGTTCCATTATGTCCATGACGATGATATTGTGTATTTTGTGGTGCCTCAAAGTGTTGGTCGTAATTTGAAAGGGTTAACTTTGTCCTTCGTTTTCTCTTCAGGCTTCAGCAGTTATTGTATTAGCATTAAAAACATGACCGAGGGTACTGAGTTTGACGCCAGGATCATGCCCTACAGTCTAAGTTATGGTACTGATTATCTTTGGCAGGGACAGTTATCAAATGACAAGCTCAAATTGCAAGACGGTGATAAAGTCTTGATTGAAATAATTGAGAAATATAATGCGGTGAAGGTGAAGAAAACAGGTGTTAGTCTGGTATGGGACAAATTTATGAACGAAAATATGATTGATTACCATCTTTGTGCGTATGAATGAAGCCCATATCTGGTCAATGATGATGACATCATTCATGTCGAATATGATTATCACTTAAGAAAATCACCGGACTTTTCAAAATTCCCAAATCTCGAGAAGTTGATATTGAGAGGTTGTAAGGAGTTGATTAAGGTTCACTCATCCATTGGGGATCTTGGAAGACTTTCTTTGGTAAATCTTGAAGACTGCGAAATGCTAAGGGGTCTCCCACTGAATTTCTATAAATCCAAGTCTATTGAAACTCTTATATTGAATGGTTGTTCAAGATTTGAAAACTTGGCTGATGGCTTAGGGGACATGGTATCATTGACAATTTTGGAAGCAGATTGCACAGGCATCAGAAAAATTCCATCTTCCGTAGTAAAATTGAAGAACTTGAGAATTTTATCTCTATCTGGTGAGAATTTTGAAATTCCATCTTTTACCCATTTCGTAACATGGCTTGAACTCTTTAATAGAGTTATGTCTTGCAGGCTTCTGGCGGTTAACTGAGGATGCAATCCCTAAGGATCTATGTAGCCTAATTTCCTTAGAACATCTGCTTCTTGGAGCCAATAATTTTCGTAGCCTGCCAAGTCTCACTGGTCTTTCAAAGCTCAAGGTCTTGTGTTTAAATGCATGCAGAAAACTTCGTGCAATCCCAGATTTACCAACCAATTTGTATGTTCTGAAAGCAATTGGCTGCCCAAAATTGGAAACAATTCCAGATTTTTCAAAAATGTCAAATATGAGAGAATTGTATCTCTGTGATTTGTTCAAACTCACTGAGGTTCCAGGCATGGATAAGTCATTAAACTCCATGACAAGGATTCATATGGAAGGCTGCACCAATCTGACTGCCGATTTTAGGAACAACATCCCACAGGTCTCTCTCTTTCTCTCTCTCTCTCTCTCTCACACACACACACACACAAACACAGAGGCACAGCTTCAGATGCGGCCCATGTAATAATATATGCATGCATGTATAAGACTGTCTTGCTTCTGGTGTGCAGAGATGGACTTCTTGCGGATTTGGTGGAATTTATTTGAATGGAATTTATGATATTCCTGAGTGGTACAAAGTCGTCAATGATGTGGACAATATCGTCTACTTTGAAGTTCCTCAAAGAATCATGGGTCGTGATTTAAAAGGGTTGACTATATGCTGCGTTTACTCTTCAGACAGGCGAAAAACTTCCAGATTGAAAAGGGTAGATTCTGAAGGTCCTATTTGCAGTATGGCTGCTTTGCACACCAAGATAGAGTCAAACAATACGGTAGAATATTTGCATATATATTTCATTCTCCGAAAGGAGGTATTTATAATACAAGGTTACAAACTCTAGTAGGGTTAAACTAGGAAATAAGTGGAATCCTAATTACATAATATCTATACAAAAAGGAAAAATAAAATCCTAATAGAATAAGAAGGAAATATCCTAATAGGGCTAGGACTCGCTAACACTCCCCCTCAAGTTGGAGCAAAGACGTCATGCATGCCCAACTTGTCAAGCGAGTTGAGAAAGATACTTGTAGAAACAATTTTCGTAAGAACATTAGCTAACTGATACTCAGAACTGATGAACGGGAAGGAAACAATCTCCGCATCCAACTTTTCTTTAATGAAATTTCGATCAACCTCCACATGCTTTGTACGATCATGTTGTACAGAGTTATGAGCAATTGCAATCGCAGCCGTATTGTCACAATATAAATCCATGGGTTTCTTAGGCCCAAAATCAAGGTCTCTCAATAATCTCCTCAACCACAGTAACTCACATACGCCATGGGCCATCTCACGATACTCAGCCTCCGCACTAGATCGAGACACCACATTTTGTTTTTTGCTTCTCCACGTAACAAGATTGCCACCAACAAACATAAAATACCCAGACGTTGAACGTCTATTAGTAGTTGAACTTGCCCAGTCAGCATCTGTGTATCCTTTCACATCTGTATGACCATACTTAGAAAACATTAACCCCTTGTCAGGAGTTATTTTGAGATATCTCAAAATACGTGTCATGGCTCTCATATGGTCTTCATTAGGCGAGTGCATAAACTGACTCACTAAACTCACTACATACGCAATGTCAGGACGTGTATGAGCTAAATAAATTAATTTCCTCACAAGCCGTTGATAGCGCTTTTTACCAGTAGGAACTTGATTAGAATATAACCCCAACTTGTGATTCTGTTCACTAGGAGTATCAATTGGTTTACAATCCAACATTTCAGTTTCTGCAAGTAAATCCAACACATACTTCCTTTGGGACAAAAAAAATACCATGTTTAGATCTGACAACTTCAATCCCAAGAAAGTACTTCAAGTCACCTAATGATTTCATCTCAAATTCATACGCCAGATATTTCTGGAGAATTTGCATTTCTGCCAGATCACCTCCAGTCACAATTATATCAACATAAATAATTAAAGTTGTCAATTTACCTTTATGATGCTTTAGAAACAAAGTATGATTTGAGTTACTTTGCACGTACCCAAACTTCTTCATAGATGCTGCAAATCTCCCAAACCACGCTCTTGGAGACTACTTAAATCCATATAAAGACTTCCGCAGCTTACACACAATACCCTCTTTAGAGGTTACAGGAATACCAGGAGAGAGATCCATGTAAATCTCCTCCTTGAGGTCACTATGGAGGAATGCATTTTTGACATCAAATTGTAACAGCGGCCAATCAAGATTAGCAGCCAAGGACAAGAGTACGCGCATAGTATTGAGCTTTGCTACTGGAGCAAAGGTTTCCGTGTAATCCACTCCATAGGTCTGAGTATACCCTTTTGCTACCAATCTTGTCTTGTAACGGTCAAAGGACCCATCAGCCTTGTGCTTCAAAGTAAACACCCATCTGTACCCAACAGCCTTTTTTCCCTTTGGTAAAGGAACTAACTCCCATGTGGCATTTTTGTTCAAAGCTTTCATCTCAATATGCATTGCATCTACCCATTTTGGATCAGATAAAGCATCCTGCAGCTTAGTTGGCACACATACACTAGATAAGTGACACAAATATGATGCATATGACTTAGACAAACGATCAGTTGACACATAATACCTAATAGGATATTTAGACTTGGCATGTATATCAGGAGAATATTGTACTTTAGGTTTCCCACGAGTGGTTCGTGGGGGTAACTGATAAGTTGACACAGATAGATCATTAGAAATTACCTCACTTGATTCACTATCACGAGTAGATTGGGGCAGTGGCAGGGCAGAGGGGGGGTCTTGTATCAATTTCATCTGTACGAGAGTTTCTAGTATCACTGTCACGTCCTTCTGAGGAAGAACCAAAAATTTCCAAAACATCACCCGGCAACCGGTCGTGACCTTCTGGGTGATCGGTCGCTGGACTCGTATCGTCGTTGCTCATCGCTGGACTCGCATCGTCGTCGCTCATCGAGGCAGGCGACCGATCGCTCACTTCTATGCGACCGATCATTTCCAGGCTGGTTGCATCGCGACCGATCTTTTCCAGGCAGTTTCGTTCGCTATCGGTCGTTTCTTCCCAGTGACCGGTCGCTTCCTGTTCGCCAGAAATTCCTTCTTCATGTCCAAGATCTTCCATATTTTCCACTTCGAAACTCTTCAATTCACTCCCCCTCTCCCTCTGAATTGAAGAGGAGGGGGAAACATAATATGGTACTTCTTCATGAAAGATGACATCCAAAGTAACATGTACCTTCTGAGTAGGAGGGTGATAGCACTTATAACATTTCTGAGTAGTAGAATAGCCAATGAAGACGCAGCGGAGAGCACAAGGATCAAGTTTACTCCGTTGATGGGAGTAGACATGAACATAAGCAACACACCCAAAAACTTTAGGGGGCAACTTGGAAACGGAGACAGGGGAAACATGGTCACCAAACACATCATGCGGAGTCTTGATATCAAGAACCTGGCTAGGAGTACGATTAATCAAATAGGCAGCGGACAGAACAGCATGCCCCCAAAGGTGATGGGGAACATTCATATCCAACATGAGTGAGCGGGCAACTTCAAGCAATTGTCGGTTCTTTCTTTTAGACACATCATTTTGTTGAGGAGTAAAGGGGGTTGTCGTTTGGTGAATAATACCTTGAGCACGGAAGAAAGACGCCAAAGTATTATTCACATATTCACCTCCGTTATCTGTCCGTAATACTTTGATCGGAGCATGAAACTGAGTAGACACCATAGTACAAAATTCTGGAAGGATGGAAACAACATCATGTTTATTTTTCAGCAAAAAAACTCAAGTAAGTCGGCTACAATCAGCAATAAAAGTGACGAACCAACGAAATCCATTCAAAGTAATGCGAGCCGAACCCCACACATCAGAATGCACTAAATCAAAAGGCTTTGCAGCTTTACTGTCACTCAAAAGAAACACAGTGCAATGGCTCTTGGCCAAAGTACATGTCTCACACTTAAAAACTCAACGAACTCTTTGACAGTGAAGACAGAGCGTTGGATAACCTCGCCGGGGGCGATTCGGTTCACTAAAGAACCGTCTAGGCAGTGAATTTTGGGAGGCTCCATTGGGACTTGCTCTTCTTTTGCTTCAATTTCCATTTCCATTTTCGGTCGTTGGACTCTCTCTTATCAGTGTGCCCCCAACAGCTTGATGAGCTGCCTGCAAAGTTCGGGAGTGCCAAATTTCCCAGACGACACACCGCCAAAGCCTGAATTGAAAAATATTCTAATCCCACCGGAACAGTATACTTTTTACGAGTACAGCCGCATCGGAACAGGTGGGATTTAGATTACTGAATATTCTTTCTTCAAGCGGCAATACTCGTAATAAAATAAAATAAAATAAAAAGGGCTGCCTAGCGGCTTGGCGGATCCTATATATATATAGGATTATTTGCAACAATGGTCTCTCAACTATACCCTAAGTTACACTTTGGTCACTCAACTCAAATATTAGTTGCAGAGGTCATAGGTGTTTTGTTGCACCGTTAGTCCTACCGTCAAGTCTCTCTAACGATAGGGACTAATGGTGCAACATAACACCTAATTGAGTGACCAAAATGTAACTCCGAGTATAGTTGAGGGATCATTGCTACAAATAATCTTAACTAAAAAGTCACATTTGCCCATCAATAATCTAAGAGATGCTTGTCACGTCATCATTTTAAACAGAAAAAGTAACAAAGTTGACGGTAGGACTAACGATGCAACAAAACACCTAATTGAGTGACCTTTGCAACTAATATTTGAGTTAAGTGACCAAAGTGTAACTTGGGGTATAATTGAGGGACCATTGCTGTGAATAACTCATATATATATAATAAATAGTCTAGCCGCGCGGCTATACTTTGCAATAAAGAGTATAGCCAACAGCTATATTTGCGTGTTTTTTTTTTAAATAAATAGTACAACCGCGCGGCTATACTCTTTAAGTATACACTGAGATTTGTTTTTTTAAAATTATTTTTTTCCATGATTTTCATTTATCATAAGAGTAGTTTAGAGCATTATTCATTACGAGCAGGCCATTACTCAAGTATATGTTGTCTCCTTTTTTATTTTTACTTTTCCAAAGTTATTACTCGTATACTGAATTTAGCATTTTCCCATTTAATACTCATATTATATACATACATAAGTATTTTCCAATAATACTTCTGTTTTTCATACACGTCTTAAAGACTCAGTAAAATACACATTTTAAAAAAAGCAAATATACAATACACATATTGTACGTACGTACGTATTTTTTCATGTTTAAAACACGTATTCTTTATAAAAAATTTCAATAATACACACAAAATTCACGTATTATGCACATAATTTTTACATATTATTGAATAAAAATATTATATAGTGGCCGAACTTTTCAATTGTAACTTGCCAAAATTTTGCCGAATAAAAGACGTACGTGTTTTATTCGTATTTTTCCCATTCCGCATTTTACTAATTATGAAAGAACTTGAGAGGCTAAGATTATTTCTTACTTGTTGTAAGAAAAATGCAAGATGTTGATTTTGCAATCTCTTTGCCAACTAGAACAACAGTTTCAAACAAAGTTTTATGGGTATAGTAGTAAAAGAGGTGGTAGTATTCTTCATGTAAAGTATTGTTTTGAAAAGTGAAGCAATTACCAAGACCACTCTAACTCAGCATGCAATTCTCTACTATAAATAATGTGTGCAGTAACATAATTTAGTAGCACTCAAGATAATGAGTTAGATCAAAGGCAAACATTCCCACGAAAAATAAAGAAGAAGAAAAAAAATTAAACTCTCATATTGATTTATTGTGAAATTTCTCTCTTTTCAATATCTACTTTGGATATGTTAAAACTAGCAAATTAATAAGTATAAAGTATAAACTAATGGAAGTAGGCCACAAAAATTCAAAATTGCTAGGGCACCCTTCTTTGCAAACTCTCAAACTAGAAAGCTTATGTTTTTCTTCCTAACCTCTCTCTGTTAACTGTCTTTCCCGAGAAGAAGGGTCTTAGGTCAAAGAAAAAGTTTATCAGTCTAATGATTTTCAAAATCACATTAATTTCAAGTAAAGATACCCTTGTATACAATGAGTCCAAAAACTCCAAAAGGTAGCGTTATTGCAAGAGGAACTTTCAAGGGCTAATCATGTTGAGCAAAAGCTCATATTACAACTCCCTAGAACAAGAATTAAATGCCAAACCAACGCAGCAGACTTTTCTAGAATATAAAACTAGTAATGAAATTTTCAAAATTAATCTCAACAAATGATTGGTGATCTGACAATGCTTAGAAATGGTGAGTGAACTCTGAGTCAGGCTGACAGAAACCAAACCAGCAGGTTCTCGACCACTGGATGCCCCCTTGTGCCCCAAACCTCAAGATTAATATTGATGCTGCGTGGAACCAACACAATTGTACGGCAGGTGCTGGGGTTATCATCAGGTACGCATGACGGATGTTTCTCGGGACAAGATCGTCTTCTATGGCTGGGGGTTCTGCAATTGAGGTGGAGGCAATGGCGGCCTTGGAGGGATGCCAACTCGCAGTCGGAAGAGGATTGTCACATGTTTTCTCCCTTCTGCTTTATTGCATTGTATTTCCTTTCTCGTTGTATGTTCCTATGTCCAATGAAAAGTGCAAGTTTCTTACAGAACAAAAAAAACAGTAGACCGAATTGGCTATTGGATTAAACATAAAGACAAAATTGGTTGAATTAATAAGAGACCAAATTGATGAATTGATAAGAGACATTTAGGAATTTGACCCCAAAAATAAAAACACAGCAAAGTCATCCAGAATAGGAAAAAAAAAGCTCTGCTAATAACTATTTGGTCTATTAACACAAAGTGGCCCCTACAATGCCAGTGCATATGGACAACCCAAGGTTCTACATTTTCTAATTTCATTTGTAAGTCACCGTAATTGAGCATGAAAATGTATACAAATTCAACTGAAACTACATTGCAACATATAGATGGCTCACTTCTAAAATCCTATATTCCAATGAGGTGAATCAAGTCCAATTATTCGACCCCATACAACAAAGAAAAATTCCCAGCTTGCTATTACGAACTCAAAACTAGTTCCTCCTTTCCATGGGTTAAATTTAAAATTGCCGTAAGCCATGACTGCACAGTTCAGGAACCTCCATGACGGTGATAGAGTATTGACCGAGAAATGGCAGCAAGATTAAACAAGATGACGAGCGCCACGATGAAATCATCCACGTAACCAAGTAAACCAAACATTGCTGCAGGATCACAAAGCCAGGATGATGTAGTAATAGTGTGCTACTCAATGTTTTCAAAGGCGAGGCGTATAGGCGAGGCGTTTTTAGTAGTGCTACGCGAGGCGTAAGCCTTGAAGTATTGAGGCGTAAGCCTTTTGAACATTAATTTATTTTAGTAAGAAAAATTTATGAATAATACAATACAATTAAATTGTACAACTAATTTTTATTGAACCATAACAATCTTTTAAATATAATTAAATATAAGTACTAAATGTGCATCTCAAGTATTTTTTCCCCCTCTATTTCTTTTGCATACTTCCACGCAGGATCTTTTAGATTCATAGCTATAAAACAATTAATATTTCTAAGATACAAGTATGATGCATATACGTCAAATTTCTACTATATCATATAAACGAATAAGATAACTAATATATTTTTAAAAAATTGAAAAAAAAAAATACGGAACTTCAAATTACAGTTGCGAAGAATTAGAGAGAAAAATAAATGACTTACTTGCAGTTGAAAAACGAAGAGAATTCTTGAAATTGATGGAGATTATCTAGTAAGGGTAGAAATTAGGGTTGTACTATATATATATATATGTGTGTGTTAATATATTAATTTAGGAAAAAAAAAAAAAAAAAGAGGTACGACGTCGTTTCACTTTAAGTTTTTTTTTTAACACTTCAATCGAAACGACGTCGTTTCATTACAATTAACCTAAAAAAAAACCCACGCGAGTCGTCTTCCTCGCAGAGCCGCAGCCAATTTGCAGACTCCCAAAATTTCTTCCAGTTCTGAGTGTCCAGATTTGCTGCCGCCTTGCTCCGCCTCGTTGCGCCTTGCTCCGCCTCGCTGCGCCTTGAAACGCCTCCTCACGCCTTCCCAGCGCTAAACGTGCAACTCGCGAAACAAACGACGCCTTGAGGCTATTTGCTGCCGCCTCGCTCCGACGCGCGCGTGCCTTTGAAAACACTGGTGCTACTTACTAGAACAACTCAACAAGAAAAATTCAACCAAATGAAAGTTAAAGCATAAAAGCCACCTTCCGGAATAAGGTCAACAGGACTGACTAGGTAGATTGCTAACAATATCATCTGTAAATTCAAAAAAACACAAATTGCCAGAAGGTGAGAACTAAATAATGAACATAAAGTATATCATAAGCTTCAGAATTGACCACCACAACATTATACATTCATTTGAAGGGGAAAAGATAACACCTGATAATGCATAACTATCAGTAGAAAAGAGACCTATTAAAAAATTACGCAACACAGATGATTTCTCATCATGGTATGAAGTAAAAAACTAGAAGAAATTTTTTTTGCAAATGCTGCTATAGAAGCATATGCTAGAATTACATTTGAAAAAAAAATTTGCAAATGCTGCTATAGAAGCATATGCTAGAATTACATTTGAAAAAATAGGGCTGATAAAAAAGGGATGAGCCAAAGTATGGCAGTATAGCATTGCCAACACATTTTTGACACGTAAGTCCTTTTTCATTTAAAACCTTGGGATAGATCTGAGCTATGAGCTCCAAATAATTATTCAACGAAAACAAAAGGACAGCAAATGACGTTTGGTTGTTTTTTTCCCTTTCCCTTTTGTTTCTTACTTTCAAATGGCATGCATAACTCCTCCTAACTATAGCAACTCTACTTCCTCTTCTATGTTTCTCAGTTGCCTGGGCACTTATCATTAATAAATGACAGATTACTTGATGCAAGTAACAAAACAGCTATGAAAAGGCAAATTCAATATCAAACAAATATTATAAATTGGTATGATGCTATTTCATCATGTTTCAAGAGCCCTACGTTATCTTGTTGAAGGTCGTACACTGATATAGAATACTTGCAAATGGTCGTTGATATTAGATCTTCTTTCTCTCCTCCGTGAGAGCATCCCTCTCCTTCGTGAGAGTTCTCTCTCCTTAGTGAGAGCCTCCCTCTTCTTCGTAAGAGTCCCTGTGTTTTTTTAAAGATGTTCCCTGTTTTGGGGCTTCCTCCTTTCTCCTAATTTTACTTCCCTCCACCCTCTCAACGACCCACTTTTTTCACTCACTTTCGCCATCTCAACAACCCACAACCTGCTCCCTGTTCTACACCACCAGCCCCTCCCCGTCCCATTCCCTTAGATCCCCCACTTTGAATCCAAACCCCAGTTCCTATCTTCAATAACCCACAGCTGGTTTTCTCTCTGTGCCACTTTGTGAAATCTTGTCAATTCCCAGAGGGTTCCTATTTACTCTGACCAAAAGTCCGAGGGAGGCCATGGAGTTGCTCAACCCCAATTCCAATTGGACTTGCTGAATTGTTGTGAGTATCCTTTGAGTTTGTTGTGGGTTTTATTGGGTCTGTTGTGGACCTTTATGGCTTTCTATGGGAGTTTTTAGTTGTTCTTTTTGTTTAGTTCTCCTTTGTTTTAAGGTTCTAATGAATTTGTTATGCTGGAATGCTAGAGGTGCTGGTAGCACCAAGTTTCGTTCTAACATGATGGAGTTAATTGCTAATCACCGTCTTGACATTCTATTTGTCTGTGAACCCCGGATTAGTGGTCAAAAAGCTGTAAAAATGGTGAAGTCTCTTGGATTTTCTGGTTTTGAGATTGTTGACCCGATTGGGTTTTCTGGGGGTTTATGGCTGCTTTGGAACGAAACTAAAGTTAAAGTAGATATCATTGGAACAACTGATCAGGTCATCTCAGCTTGTATCACTGAGCATGGTCAAGCCCCTTGGCTATTTTCAGCAATTTATGCTAAACCTTGTGCTGTGAAAAGAGCAAACCTGTGGGAGTATCTATGCTTTGTTGCGGACTGTCACAACTTGCCTTGGATGTTAGCGGGAGACTTTAATGAATTGCTTGCTGCTGATGATAAATTGGGTGGTGTGCAGGTTTCTAGGCTGAGGGGTTTTCGAAATTGGTTTGATGCTCACAATATGGTGGATTTAGGCTACTCTGGGCCTAAATTTACTTGGACAAATAAAAGAGTTCTTGAAAGGCTTGATAGAGCAATATGTAACTTGCAGTGGAGGGGGCTGTTTGCTGAAGCTAATGTGATACATCTGCCAAGAACCAAATCTGATCATAGCCCCATAAAAATTTGTTTGAAGTCCAGTCTTACTACTTCTCCTACTAATAGGCCCTTCAGATTTGAAGCAATGTGGTTGAAACATGATGAGTTCAAGGAGTTTATCACTCAACGGTGGGAGCAAGCAACTGGTGATGCGTTGAAGAAATCTTGCTGTTTAATTGAGCCTCTGAAACAATGGAATACTACTGTTTTTGGGCATCTTCGACAGAAGAAAGCTATCATTTTAGCCAGGCTGGCTGGAATACAGAAAGCTTTGTGTATAGGGCCAAATTTGGATTTGAGCAATCTTGAAGATGTTCTGATTGGGGAGTACAATGGCATTCTTGATCAAGAAGCTTTATTCTGGCAACAAAAGTCTAGATTGAAATGGTTGCAAGAAGGGGATAGAAATACCAAATTTTTTCATATGACTACAATTATTAGGCGAAGGCGCAATAAGATTGAGAGACTGAAGAATTGTGATGGGGTATGGGTGGAAGATGCTGATGGTCTTAAAGAGCTGGCAATCACTTATTTTTCAGCTCTGTTTTCACAATCTGTTTCTCTTGACTCCACTCAAGATATACCCAACCTTTATCCTTCTGTTCAGGAGGCTGATTTGAACTACCTGGTTAAGAGTGTTGAGCTGGTTGAAGTCAAGGAGAGTTTGTTTAAAATTGGAGGGCTTAAGGCACCAGGTGTGGATGGGTTCCCTGCCTCCTTTTATCAGAAGAATTGGGATCTCTGTGCTGATGACATCTTCGCCATGGTTCGTACGGCTTTTCATGAATGTTCTGTCCCTGAGCAACTCAATGATACCCTAATCACTCTGATCCCCAAGGTTGAGAACCCCCAATCCATGGTGCAGTTCAGACCCATCAGTCTTTGTTGCACTCTTTATAAGGTAATTTCTAAATTACTGGTTGCTCGATTAAGGCCTATGCTGCCTAAAATCATCAGTCCTAATCAGGTTAGTTTCATCTCTGGAAGACAAATCACAGATAACATCCTCATTGCTCAGGAATTGATGCATAAGTTCAAATGTTCTAAGGGTAAGAAGGGCTTCATTGCCTGGAAAATTGATCTATCTAAAGCCTATGATAGATTAAATTGGAAGTTTATTGAAAAGGTCCTTGGTGAAATAGGCTTGCCCAGTAATTTCATCCAGCTGGTTATGAGTTGTGTTTCTTCTGTCAAATATCAAGTTTGTGTTAACGGCGAGCTTTCCCAACCTTTTATTCCAAAGAATGGTATTCGACAAGGAGATCCCCTATCTCCCTACCTCTTTGTGGTTTGCATAGAAAAGCTATCTCATATCATCTTTGATGCTATCAATAAGGGGAAATGGAAACCTGTTAAATCCTCCCAAACTGGGCCTGCTGTATCGCATTTGTTTTTTGCTGATGACTTAATCCTTTTCGCTGAAGCTAGTAAGCAACAAGCTAGGGTGATGAAAGGATGCTTGGATTTATTTTGTCAAGCCTCTGGTCAAATTGTCAACTTTGACAAGTCTGCTGTATTTTGTTCTCCTAATACCAGCAGGGCGTTGGCTCAAGAGATCAGTTTCATTTGTGGCTCCCCTTCAACAGACAACCTAGGAAAATACTTGGGGATGCCCATCTTGCACTCTAGGGTAACTCGATCCACTTACAGCAGTTTGCTTAGTAAGGTTCATTGCAGGCTTGCCAATTGGAAAAGTAAGTTGCTTTCTTCAGCTGGGAGGGCCACTCTAATCCATGCTGTCACATCTGTTATTCCCATATATTCTATGCAGACCAAAAAATTGCCTGTTAGTATTTGTGAAGATTTGGACAGGTTAAATAGGAACTTCTTCGGGGGAGGAAGTGATAGGAAGATGAAAGTCCACCTCTGCCAATGGAATCTACTGTGTAGACCTAAAAACAAAGGTGGTTTGGGTTTCAAGAAGGCTAGGGACATGAATCAAGCTTTGTTGGCTAAAATCGGTTGGAGGATGCACAACAAAGATAATGGCTTATGGGCTCAGATTTTTGAAAAGAAATACCTCAAGGGTCATTCTATTATTGATCCTAATTTGAAAACAAGAAATTTGTGCTCCTCAACTTGGAACAGTATTCTTTTTGGAGCTGAGCTGCTGGCAAAGGGAATGATCTGGAGGGTTGGAAAGGGTGATTTGGCCAAATTTTGGACAGATAAATGGCTATTTGATACACCTCTAATGCAACATAATGGGGTGTTGAATATCCAAGATTTGAATTGCAACGTTGACAACTTTTTTAGGAATGGTTGGTGGAATGTGGACCAGCTGAGGAATGCTCTTTCTGAAGATTTGGTTCAAAAGATCACTGCTGTCCCTGTTGGGTTTGGGAACTCTGTACATGATGCTCAAATCTGGGGTATGTCTTCAAATGGCTTATTCTCTGTTAAATCTGCATACTCTATTTTTTTTAGAGAATTGGGAGATGTTGATCCCTTTTGGAATGACTTGTGGAGAATGAAAATCCCTCCCAAAATTCACATATTCATTTGGTTGGCTTATCAAGGTAAAATCTTGTCCAATGAGCAAAGAACCAAGAGGAATCTAAATTCTGATCCTTCTTGTCATTTGTGTGGTTGGCAAACTGAATCCGTTATTCATATTCTTAGGGACTGTCCCAGGGCTAAGATGGTATGGAATTCTGTTGTTAATTTACATTCCTCTCCTCACTTCTTCCTATCTGAGCTAAAACCTTGGTTCCTAGGCAACTTGCTCTCTAAGGTTAATGGACCTGATGGTATTGGTTGGAATATTGTTTTTGCCATTACTTGTTGGTATATCTGGAATTGGCGTAACAAGCAGATTTTTAACATTGCAGTGGATTTTCCTTTTAATCCTAGGAAAACCATCTTTACTGCGGTTGTTGAGTGGGTTAAAGCCGCTATTGGCTCTGGCAAGAAACCTGATAGAGTACTTGTCTTTTTGGCTTGGGCACCTCCTACAATTGGTCAACTTAAGCTGAATGTGGATGGTTCTAGAAGGGCTGCCACTAATATTATTGGAGCAGGAGGTGTTATCCGTGACTCCTCAGGTGACTGGATTGCCGGGTTTGCTGTGAATTTGGGCCAAGGTCATATCTTGGAGGCTGAGGTTTGGGGCCTATATTTTGGGCTAAAACTTGCTGTTGAAAAAGGTGTCACTAACCTTGCTATTGAAATGGATGCTGCTGTTGCTGTCTCACTTGTTCAACAAATCAATTCATTGCAATGCCATCCTCTTGCTGCTTTGGTGCATAGTTGTTGTGATCTCATGCGACAAATTGGAACTTGTCACCTTGTCCACATTTACAGGGAAAAGAATTGTGTTGCCGATTGTTTGGCAAACTGGAGTTATAATCTGGATTTGGGAATTTGCTTCTTTGATGAGGCTCCTGTCTGGGTTAGCTATCTGTTGATGGATGACTTACTTGGTCTTGCTAGGCCTCGACTCATGTGCGGGGCTTAGTTGTTTTCTGGGGGTTTCCCTTATTTCACCAAAAAAAAAAGATATAGAATACTTGCAATGTTCATACAAAATTCAATAAACTCCTACATCAGCTCGAATGGATCAGGTCTGCATGAATGTTGTGTGGTTTGTGGATGACAAAATTCAAAAGATATGCAACTCATTTACTGATCTCGGTTTCTTTGGCTCCCAGGCAGATCATTCATTATTTATCTATAATATTGACGGTGTTCTTCTCATCCTTTTAATCTATGTTGATGACATCTTGATTACAGGGAATAATTCTTCTCGTGTTGATTGGCTTATATCCTCCCTTAGTACAATTTTTGCCATGAAGGATTTAGGCCCTCTTCACTATTTAAGAACCCTTGTGTCACAAATTAATGGACTACCTACTCCAGATAAACAAAACAAAATGATAAATGTAGGTAAGCACCCATGTGGTTGTATTGCCAACAAATTGACTGCAGGGTATAAGATAATTGATCGCATACTTGTGTCAATTACTTAACTGCAAAACAGATCTGAGCCATCCTACGAGCAGGAAGAGATCTATTAGGATTAATTAGTTCTCGCAGCAGCCTCCGCAGGAAAAAAGGAAGGTCCTGCCCTCTCTGTAGAAAAGATAATTGACATATATGATGTTAAATGATTGAATACACCTGAGAGAGAGAGAGAGAGAGTAATTCATTCAAAATCTTTTGACATTTATGATGTTAAATGCTTGAATACACTTGGCAACGTTATACAGAAAGGAGGGTAAATGTGAAAGCAGGCATGATTGATGGGAAACGCAGCAGGATCTAGTGCTCTAATATTTTCAATCAAATATTGTACCTATCTTCATACCTAATGTTCTCATTTGAATACAATCTAATATATCCTGAGAAACATAATGGGAAAGTTGACATCTCCAGGAATCATAACTAAATATGGCTTTTGGAATCACGTGGGTCAACAAGAGGTGCAGTTACAAACTTAGGATTGCTAAAGTGTTATAAGATTTCTCACATGAAGAGTGTGGGAGCAAATATTTTCGTCTCCAGTCAGAGCACGCCACGTGGAAAAGAAGATTATCCCTTAAAATAATTAATTAAACTATTTATTGGGATAATTAATTAATTTGGATAATATCTTAATTATATGGTATTATCTCATAATTAATAAAGATAATATCATTAATTGGGATATTATCATAATAAAGGGATATTATCTTATAATTAATGAGATAATATCAATAATTCAGGTATTATCTTATCAAAGGGATAATATCCTAATTATAGCATATTATCTTATAATTAACGAGATAATTCAGATATTATCAAAGTCCGACTCAATCTCTACGAAACCCTAGCCCCGAGGCTCCTATAAATAGATGACTTCAATCATCATTCAAGGTACTTCAAAAACCCTACTTCAAAACCTAGCTCCAAAACCCGAGAAAATACCCGAAGCTCTCTCTCCCTCTCCACTCTCCATATTTTCTCCACACGGCTCCGGCCGCCCGGTTTACACCATACAACTCCGTACCCTTTGCTTAGCTATTGTTTTCCTACAAACACTCGAACTAACTTAGGCATCGGAGGGCCTTTGGCCAACACCCTCCGGGTGTGGGCTATTTACTCCAGTCTTTTTTACAGGAATCGAGGAAGAGAGAGAAGGAAGATCGAAGGTTGAAGGATCTAGAAGCGAATATTCTCCCGCGAGATTATTTGCACAAACAAAGAGATTGGAGTTTATTACGAATAACTTTAAGGTGTGGACTAAAGATACTTTTTCAAGGATGTAAGAGAGCAGGACTAGCATCTGAGGCAACAATTCAGTTACTTAAAAGAAAGAGTTGCATTCATGGATGCCAACATGTTTTAGTGAACAGAAACTTTATATATTTTATTTTTCCAGGAGTCTTAAATTTTTTAATTCTTTTGGAAAAAAAAAGAGACTATTTTCTCCGTATATTTTAAAGTGCACAGAAACTATGAATATTTTTCAACTAAATCATATTTAACTTCCCCTTTCTGGTATCAGAGCCGTAAGAGTTGAAGGAGTTGAGTCTAGGTCTGCTACTCATATCGCCCAAGTGGCTGGTTTAGGGCTTCCGAGTTAGCAAGTCTCTTCAGTTATTCCAAACAGTTATCTTAGAGTTATTTGTTTCTTCGGGTCCTATCTCTCAAAAGTCGGGTCAGTAAGTCCTAGAGTCCAAACAGTAAGTCCCAGATAGAGGCATGAGCAGTTGCGGCATGGCTGTGAGAGAGAGAATACCTTAGGTTACAGGTACCTTTGAGTTAACCCTAGGAGTTTCTGTAGATCTTCTACCTCTTGAAGCCTTGAGTCAAATACTTGTAAGTATGAGTCGTTTTCTTAGAACCAACTCAGTTAATTCTTCTAGTTCTAGAACCAGTTTGAGTCAAGTTCCAGACATAGTTAATGAAGAACGAGTAGAATTTGAGTCAACTAGCAGTGAATTAGCCAGTAAAGATTGGAATATACCCAAAGTCTCTAGTAAAGAAATTTATAAAAAACAGTGGTCACCCTTGTCTTTTAAGTCAATCACCCATATTAATACTGTAGAACAAGTTTATGCCTTGAGTAAAGAACATGAAACCTGTCAGTTATTTAATTCTGAATCAATTAAGAAACATAGGAAAGAAGGTAATAATTTTTTGCATATAGGTTTAGTTCAAGTTGCAGTTAAACCTTTAACCAAATTAGGTCTTGATGCTTAAATCCTAATAAGCCTAAGAGATGCCAGATTTAACGATTTCCAAGACAGTGCCTTGGGAATCATAGAGTCAAGTTTGTGTCATGGTCCAGTTCATTTTGATTGTTACCCAGATTTCACAGTTAGCCTTAGTGATCCCCATATTTTAAAAGTTTTAACTTTAAATATTAAAACCCATGGTTATAATATTTTACCCAGTAGTCAACCTTTAGCTTTAATTTATAGAATTTATTACAAAGTTACAGGAACAAATTTGAACTTCAAAGCCCTTAGTAAAAGTCCCAAGAATCAAACTTTATTAATACAGAGTCACACTTCTAACGCTAATATTACTGTTCCCAAAATGATACCGTGGTCAGATGTTAAATTACCCCAAGATTGGTTCCTAACAATCGAGTGCCCCCCAAAGCCGATTCAACATAGTCTAAGTAATCTAGATTATATTCAACCATACTTGGATGGTACAGTTAAAATTAGTTTTAATAGCCCACAACAACCAGTCAAGTCTTCTGTCCAATTAGAACAGTTACCAACTCCTAGTCAATCTTTTAAAATTCCAGCTAAACATTCGTCTGCCGAGTCATCCTCAGTTACAGAACGAGATTTAGAATTAGAAAAAGCCCTCATAGATCTTAGAATAAATGAATTAAGAAAGAAAGGCCAAGTAGTTCAGCCAAATTATGAAAAAGCCCCAATAGAAGAACATCAACCAGAGTCACCTACTAAAACAGATTTTCAAGCCGATGATACTTTTGAAATAGATAATCAGTTAAGAACGCTTAGTAAACCTTTCAAAATTCATTGGTCAAAGTTAGATGCCCATTTCCAAGCCCCTAAAAATGAGTTACGAAAAACCAAGTATCATGCCTCTTTCCCCAAAATTCAACGAAAGGAAATTTTCAATGAATGGAAAGAATATTTGAAAAAGACTAAGTCAGAGTCACCTTATCTTGATTTTGTAGAAAGCAAATATATGAGTCAAAAGTTAGAAACTTTAACCCAGGAAAAATGGGAAAAAGCCGACAATACCAAAGTTACCAGTACTCACCCCCCTGTTGAAACAATAGTAATTAGTCACCAAAATGCTAAAGTAATCGCAAGTCCTTAAAAGTTGGCTGAGTCGAACGATAAAGACAAAAAATTAGTTGAACAAAATAATTACACCAATACAAGCCTAATCGTCATAGGTAAATAGTTAGATAAAATTGAAACTAAAATTGATAAGTTAATCCCTGGTGAAATTACCGTAAAGCCAAAAAAGGAAAAACCCCTAGTCAAATTTCATGAGTTAAAACCAGAATCGACATTAAAAGTTAACCCAACAATGAGAAAAATTGAAGAAATATTTAAAGAATTAACTCCAGTTAAACCAAAGCCAAATAAAGACAAAGATAAAGGAAAAGAAGAAGAAACCTCAGTAAAAGTTTTACAATTTAAAGTTAATTCCTCTGATAGTGAGTCCACCATGTCTTTAGACTCAATCCTTAGTCAAGAGTCAGAAACTAGTAACATCTCTAAAATTGAACAAGCCTTTAGTAATCTGCAAGTTAACCAGGTGTTCACCCCTTTTTGTGTACCTGTAATGGTAGGGTAAAGTTCCCCATTAATTTAAAGACCATGGTTGGTCTATAAATTAACTTTCTTTGTGTGTCGAGCGTGCCACCGTTAGCAATTTTTCAATTCCAACAGATTTGAGAGTAAAAATAACTTGCGCCCCAAGCTATTGACTTTGAACAAGCGATTGTGAATTTGGGTGAGGAATATCTCCCAAGTAAGTTCTTTTCTATGCCTTAGACTGGTAAGGACTTTTACAATTTTTCTCAGTACGAAAACCGGTAGTTCTGGCCAGAATGAAAGATGACAGATTGAACCAATTTCAGGCAGAACTCCCTTTTACAAGACTCAAAAAGGGAAAAACTGACTATACAAGGACAAGAAGAGGGCTGTGCTTCCATTTCTGTCTGGATAGTTGCCTCTGTTCTGGGCTGGACT